TGGGTCTAACTCTACTCCATCGTCTTATGATAAGCTGCTTCCCCGGCATTCTCGCTCTTTCTTCCTTTTGACTGGGATTTGACTACAAGGATACAGCTTTCCTTTAACCCAGAGAAGGAAGGATGGATGCTGGAAAGGGCAGAGGCAAGACCTAGCAGATCTGATAGATTCAGAGAAGCTGAGACGTCTGCCCTCTACAGACTGCTCAAGTAGCTTTGTGGCATTATGAGAGAAACACACTTTTGGAGCTCCAGGGGCACGGTCAGTCAGCATGCGGTACTTACAATACATACATACCTCTGTCTTTTGTAAGCCACCCTGCAGCAGTTTAACTGTGCACTAATCTAGTTATGAGGGAAAGTTGCAAGACATAGCAACACACAGAGAGAAATGAAGAAACAAAGACAGGATTTTTAAATAATGCAAATAATGAACACGTTTAGATATCAATTTAGACTTCAGAATATAAGAATGGAAGAAAGGACTAAAGAAAGCAGCAATCAGAGGTTTAAAAAATAGAACAAATTCCCTTAGATGACAAGAGGGACAGAAAACAAAGAACTGATCTTTGGCAGAAAGAGAAAGAGTTGCTCTGCTCTGGCAGAAAAAAAGATGATGATGGCTGTGGATACAGAAAGATTTGTAGACATCAGGTTGATTTTTTTTGGTTCTGGGAATCCAACTCCAGCCCTTGTGCCTACAGACAGGTGCCGCATCACTGAGCTGTTTTCCTGGCCCTAGACATCATGCTGAAAGGTGGTGTCATTCCTATTCAGTGTCTTTACTCTCACTGGAGAGCAGAGTCCTTTCTGAGAATGGAGGAAGTGAGAACTGGCCAAGCTTTCAGTACCATGTGAAGGTATGACACACTCATTATGGAGAAATGTTACATGACGAGTAGTAAGTGGTGAGCGCTTATTTGAAGTAGGGATTCATAAATTTGTGAGTTATTGATCTGCCAGGCAAGTTCAACTGCTCTGGGACTGCCAAGGGTGGATAGCTTCCATCCAGAGCTGGAGGTGCAACAGCCAAGTGGAACACAAGTGAAGAAAACAGAATTTTTCCAACAGAAGGATTTTAATAATAGACCATGGAATCAGGGCTACAGAGTGAGGAAGGTAAAAACAGAAACAGGTGGTCAAAACTAGTGCAGAAAACGGACTGGAAGTTTTAGTGAGGATGAGAAACTACTGTTTATCACTAGTGAGCTAGAAGCAAAATGGAGGAGCGTTCAAATGAGACCGTCAAAGGCATCGACTGGACCACGGTAGCTGAGATGAAGGGGCAAGGCCTCTGCAGAGGAGAGCAATCTCCTGACTGTGGCTGTGGCAAGTAGTTTTGTTTTTAAAGATGAGTAGGATTCTGTTCAGTAGAGAAGAAGGTAAGGTCATAGCAGAAAGAAAAGAGAACACTGGAGACCAGAAAAATAACCGTTAGCTTTCTCCAAGGTTAGAGAACATGGGTTCCTGGAAATGAAAGATGAAAAAAATACTGAAGGCACAAGAATGAAAAATACAGTACTTTAGACATTATTTTACAGCCCAAGTTGTCAATCACGATGCTATCAGACATTGGTACGTATAAAGATGACAAATAACTTATATTTTTATTTATTTTCTTTGGAGCGTGTGACTATGTGGATTTGTGATTTTTGCAATTCTTAGAAAATTCTTAGCCATTACATCAATAAATACTGCTTTTCCCCTATTCATTTTGTTTTCTTTAAAACTTTTACACTGCACTCTTTTTAAAATCAGTATGTGGGTAGTATGTAATATTTAAATTCCTCACGTGAAGTTGGTCCATGTATATAACACATCTTAATTCCTTTTTTCCATCCTCTTTTACTTCTTCCCACTCCCCTCCTTATATCTTTTGATCCTCTTCTGTTTTGTACACTTGACTTCTACAATTCATTTATACATGTAAATAAGGACAATAATTTATAATTATTATAAATCGTAAGTATCAGAACACTGCATATATTGTACATTAAATGTTTAAAAACCCATATCCACTCTCTCATTCTCGATCTGTTATTAAAAATTAATTCCCTTTCTAATAACATAGTATCTAGATTCACTGGATGTTATGGTGGTTATCTAAAATATCCCCTTTCATAGTAACTTTGCTTGTTACTGCGATGAAATACACCCAAAGTTAAAGGAGGAAAGGTTTATTTAGCTTACAGTTTCCAGAGGTATCAATCCATAATTAGTTGGCTCAAAGTAGGGTGGATGGCAGGCAGATGAGAAACAGTTCATGGTGAGCAGTAAAGTAGTAAAGCAAAAGCAATTACCACAGGTCTTTCTATCCCTGATGTCTTACGTAGGCTGCTTTGGGTAGGTAGCACTCACACCTGTAATCCTAGTGATCTTGATATTAGCATTCCACCATGAATCATTTCCAGCATCACACAATGTAGATCCAGCTATCTCTGAAAAAGCCCTACTTATGACTGCTTTAGGCTTTGGAGGGACAAAACATAAATCATAACATTCTGCCCTTGGCATCCCAAAGACTCATGTGTATCCCTTTATGTAAAAGGCATTTAGTTCATCTCCAAGAGGCGCCAAAGTCCTAACAATTTCAGCACTGCTGAAAAGTCCAAGTCCAAAGTCTTCTCTGAGATTTAAGATAAACTCTTAGCTGGGAGCCCCGTACAAATGAAAAGAAACTTAAATACTTCCAACATTCAACGGCACATGATAGACATTTCCATTCCAAAAGTTAACCAATGCGGGGACAGCAAAGAATGGGAACAAAGCAACATCGAAATCCAGCAGGGCAAACATTAAGTCCTGTAATTCCATGTCCAGTGTCGTCAGCAATCTGTGGCAAGCTGTGAACTCTAAAGGACTTGTGTGGTTGTACCCCTGTGGCACTGCCAGTGATTGCACTTCCAATGGCTTTTTTCTTCAGCTGGCTTTGTTCACTCTGGAGTCTTTCTTGGACAGTCCATGTTCTTGGCTTCTCCAAACTCCTGGTGCCTCCACTACATCTTGAGCTTCACCATCACAGTGCCACACACTGCCCTCTCAGGGGCACACTGCCTGCGTTCCCAGGCCTTCTTGTGAAATATGGGTGGGAGACTTCCTGAGCTCACAACTTACATTCTGCATGCACCTAAAACCACATGAATGATGCCAAGACCTGCCTCCAGCTGGAGCAGTAGCCAACTTTCCTTGTCTCTTGGGTGTAGGAGTAGAGTGCCTGAATTTCTGAGCACTCTGAACCCAATCCCAAGGAACAAATTCTCTAGGCTGCTGCTATTCTGGAATATGGTGCTCTGGAGCTATCTTCTCAGAGCAAAATCTTTCAGCTTTGCAAAGTCTGAGGGTGCAAAGGCTGGAGTCCTGCCACTTCTTTTGATACCCTCAGGCCACCTTTTCTGTTGTCTTCTGAAATACTTGGCTTTTTCTTATTAGTCTTTTCAGTGACCAGTCTCTCCTGTTTCATTTTTCTAGGCTACAACTTTACTGGCTTCCTTTCTAGTCAAACACAAACTTTCTGAATCATTATCCTGGGCTCTTTGCTCTTGATTCTCAATATAAATCTTGTTAAAAGGCCCCAACAGTAGCCATGCCTCAGCCTCAACATTAGACTGTCTAAAAATTCCTTCTGCCAGATTAATGAGTCTGCTACTATTCATCTTAGTCTCAGGCAAAGTCTCTGGACATGAGCAAAATGCAGACAAATTTTCTGCTAGTGTACAACACATATTGTCTGGAGTTTAATAGTCAGTGTGGTCCTTCCCAGCAGAAACCTCTTAAGTGTGCTTTTTAAATGGCAGGATTTCTGTCAGCCTTCTGGTCTTCTAAGCTCTGACCAGAATCTACCAAAAAGTACCACCAAGGTGTTTGAGCTCTACTTTTTCAGCTGGCATCTCTGACTCTTTCCAAAATCTTCCATGGTCAGGTATAGTCACAGCAACTACCCTTCTTCTCCAGTTCCAAATTCTGTCTTTGTTACTATTCTCATTGCTGAGACAAAATATCCAACACCCAGAGTTAAAGGAGAAAAGCACAGTTTACAGTTTATAAAGGTTTCAGTCCATAATCAGCTGGCTACGAGACATGTCAGACAAGCATCGCAGAGGAGAAACAGTTCATGTCATGTAGGAGATAGCAAAGCAACAAGGGAGACCACAGCTCTTTCTAGTCCCTGTATCACATCCAGGGTACTCGGGGCAGGCAGCACTCACACCTTTAATCCTAGTGCCCTGATTGAAGGTTTGGTTGCCAGCTGTTTTTGCAGGGTTATGGGATTGTGAGGGCTCTAACTTCATCCATGGATTAATACATTGGTGAGATCATACTTCAGTGGCTTTATTGGAAAGTAATGGAAACAGGAGGCTGAGCTCTTTCGACACCCTTTGCCTCCTCACGCCCACAGCATTGGAATCAGACAAATATAAACTAAAACGTGAGTCAAAATAAGCCTTTCCTCCTTTAAATTGTTTTGTTTTCTTTTTTTTTTTTTGTCTTTTTCGTTTTTATCGGTACCAGGGATCGAACTCACGACTGCCTGCTTGCAAGGCAGGCGCTTATGCCGCTGAGCTAAATCCCCAGCCCCTCCTCCTTTAAATTGTTTCTCTCAGGTACAGTGGTCCCTTGGATCACAAACTTAATTATTTATGTAATTCTGGTGGCAACATTACACATGCTTGCAATGCAGTTGCAACCAGAATTGTGGAACAAATGTTTCAACTAGAATCATGAAAAGAATTAAGTTCATGAATAGGGCTACCACTGTATTTTGGCAGAGTGACTGAAGCTGACTAACAGAGTGACAAATACACAGAAATTTCTGAGGTCCTTTTCATATATTCCTAATCCATGTTTTTAGGTCTCAATTTCTTTCTTGTCCAAATGTTGCAATAAAATATAAATACTAGTACATTTCTATTAAAATGTATCAGTAAATTGCAAATTAAAATCAACACTAACCAACTCCCTTAGGACAAAGTTATTTTTACAATTTTGTAAGGGAATGCTTACCTACAATGAGCCTTTGAAGTGTACCTTTATCTCCATTAACTGCAGCAGCATGAACTTGTGATGCTAATGAAGAACCAGTAAAGGGAAAGTTCTCTGACTTGTTCATAGTTGTTCCAAAAACTGGAGCAGCCTGAAACAATGATTTAGTCAATGAATATATGCAGGAAACATTTCTTCAACCTGTCTCATCAGGTCTAAATGTGGATGTTATAAACATATTTCACTAGAAACATTTCACTATGATGAAAACAATGTAGTACTGCCATAATATGGCAACTTAAGTGATTGTAGCATAAATTGATCATCTATAAATTGAAAGGATTGAATGCTTTAAAAACCAATCTCAGGGACTCAGAAAAAAGAAGACCGAATATTTAAGATTAAGTACATAGTTCAGTGAGTACAGTGACTTCTCAGTTAATACAGGTAATATATGATTCCACATAATAGTACACATTACAAGTAATATTTGGAAGCAAGCTGTGGATCAAGGCAGAAAATGGGTAAGACATCAAGCCAGTATCAACTGGATTCATGTAGTACATTAAAAAACTCTTGGTTCTTTTCTTCATGTCTGCAAAATGTGACATTTTAATTTTTTTCTCCCCTTGGTCCACTAAAGAAACACACCTAGCTTGAAATTTTGACCTTAAGATTTTATTTGGAACACAGGATCTTTAGGATTAAATTATATTTCACTAAGAAAAAATTGTTCTGATTGGTAATCTCATGTTTTCTTTTTTTGAGGGCCTTCTAGAAATGTATCAGTTACATAGGGAAACAGTGACTTCCCTTTCATAATAGTTGTTTAAGCAGAGGTTGGACTGGCAGAAATGTAGAAAAAATGTTATAGGAAGGAGCGAGGGATACATTAAATGTATTTGCTCTATCAAAATCCAGAGTTAACTTCCAACAAGTACTGATGAGATAAGAGATATAAGAAACGCAGGAGTCATGGGGATCACAGCAAACTGGAATTTACAGTACATATTTAGGGAAAGTAAGTAGCTTTTAATCAGTTCAGGTTAATTGTTGCCATGAAGGTAGGCAACTCTCTTCCAGTTTCACTAAAAAGCATCTCATTCCTATTTATGTGCCTCTTGGAGTTTTCAGTTTTTGCTCGCAAACTCTAGGGAGTTACAACAGGTAGTACTTCTATTGTCATTGATGAGGATATTCAGTTCAAATTTCTCCTTATGGAGAAAGTTTTAAAAATTACAGTAAAGGTTCCTTGTGTTTATTTGGTTGGCAAATAGAGGAAACTATTGTTAGATACTTCAGTGGTGTCTGAGCAGGTCTGTCCTGTCAGAAAAATCACTAATATAATCATTAGAGGATTATATTAAAATCACTTGGAGAAGCCACACACACACAACAAAAAGGTTGGGGTGGAGAAACATGGTTGAGAGTAATTGTGCTTGAGTTCTAGGTTGCGTTGTTAGTAATTAGTAGTGTGTCTTTAGACTTTCTCAGCTCTCTGAATTTCTGTAAAACATGAAAATGAACAGTGTGGACTATGTTTATTCATTCAACAAGTGCCAACAGTGTGGATCGCTCTGAACTCTAAGACCTGTCAATTTAGAGTCTAAGTGATCACTTTTAGCCACATCAGAACCACAAAAATTTTTGTATACTTTGAAAAACACATTAGATTTCAGTTGTGTATATATGTATTTATATATTTCATCTCATAATTCTTAGCATTGTAAGATTTAGAGTTAGGGCTTTGTAAATGTTTGTTGAATGAAAGATTATAGGCTGAGCATTAAGTCCAAAGGGTAAGCAGGATCAAAGTTTAATTTCTTTTTTAATTCCCCAGTTCAACAATGTTTGGGTTCTGTCAGAGAAGTAGACATGTAGTATAGAGATAAGAGCACTGCCATAGAAGTTAGGAGACCTTATTCTTGGGCTCTGCCACTGACTTACTTTGTTATCCTGAGTTCACTTTAGCACAAATGCATTTTTTTGTGAATTTATTTTTTATACATGAAAATCAAAACTGCTTTGTTAAATATGCTATACTACATAAAGGTACCATCATCTTTAACTTGCTATAAAATAAGCCAACCTAATAAATGTTTAATAATTATAACTGTACAAATCTAGTAGTATTGTAGTCACACAAAGGAAAAGCAAATTTCCTTAGTACAAAAGGGTGGTTGATTGTGACAGATGTCAGAGCTGACCAATGTCAGAGATGATGACATTTTTCCAGAAAGAGATGAGGTAAGGCATTTTAGGCAGCAGGAAAACCGGAACAAAGGCAGGGGGTAGGGAGAACCGCAAAACCTCCTAGAGCTCCTGGTTGCTCAGTAGTCAGTATATTGTCCTTACGGGCACATGGACCAGTTGAGTGTTTACAGACAGCCCTGGAGAGCTCTTAGGAGCCGGGTTCAGTTCTTTGCCTGTTTGGCCAAGGAGTTTGCAATTATCTTCCTAATTTAAGCATTAGAAGCAATCATCTAGCAATGAGCTTTTCAGTTTATAACGTGCTATCCTATCTCTCTTACGATAGCTACTTTTTACACGGGCCTTCATAACCAATTAGGGATAAGGCAACTCACTGAGCCCCTAAGTGGAGGCTCCTATTTTATAACGAAGAAAATAGCACAGAAAGAGGACGCAGCAGGCGAGGAGGCCAGTGAGGGAGGTTCAAATCAAGGCTAAGGCCAGGAGGACTGAGTGTCTGCGGGAGTGGCCAGGGCGGTGAGTACCGATTGATCAGAATCTCCCAGTGAGGCCCTTTCCTACTCACCCTCGCCTCCTCCAGGACTGACGTCCGGAGGATGGCTCCAGGAGGCGACCCCCACGGGGCCGCCCCTCTCCCAGGCGCGCGACACCACACCTGTAGGCTCAGATCCCAGGGCGCTGAAGCCAACAAGCCCCTGCAGAAGGCTAGGGGCGGTGCTCCGCTGCACAGCTTTCTGGGAATTGTAGTTCCTATGCGGGGAAACTCAGAGGTGCACCGCCCTCTGCCCTTTCAATCCCACAGGGCCTAGCGCGAAAGGAATCGATGTTTAAGGGCCTGCTGGGAAAGAGAGTTTTGGGCGGTTGATGACGTGCTCAACGAGGGACGTGCAGGACTACATTTCCCTTTGTGCTCCGAAGTGGGCAGGACCCGGAAGTGAGGGCTACGAGGCCTCTCTGGAAGTTGTCCCGGGTGTTCGCCGTTGGAGCTCCGGGTCGAGAGGACGAGGTGCCGCTGCCAGGAGGGTCTTCAGCAGCTGCCGGCTCCTGGAGCCCAGCCCTTTCTTCTCCCAGCCCAGCTCAGCCAAGTTCCAGCCACCAACGCCCGTCCCTGCCGTGGACCCCAGCGTTACCATGAATCCTGCGGTCTTCCTATCTTTACCCGACCTCAGATGCTCCCTGCTGCTCCTGGTGAGTGAATTGGGGAATGACAGACCCTTCGGCCGACTCGCCGACCGCCTCCTGCCCTTGCCGAGGGGGAGACCCTGCTTCCGCTGCTTTCTTATCTTTTCCTCCGATGGCGAGGGCACCTCCCCCTGTGCCTTCACTTTTGCCATCTGTCTGTCAGCATTCCAGGCCCAGGCGCCCCGAGGCCTGAGAAACCACGGTCGGGGGTCTGGGTCCCGTAAAAAGAAGAATGAGTCCTGGGGGAGTATAGTGCGTGGGAGAGTCGTGGCAGAGGCGCTCCCTTTACTTCCAGAGTACGGGCGTTGTTTGAGTTTGGGGGCTGTAGGGACCCGGTGGTACCCTGAATTCGAAAGGACCGAGGATAAAACTAGTATTTTCTCCCACCTCCTCCCTTGGGGAAGGGTGTGAATCTAATAATTCTGGGTCGGTGTAGCTCTCTCTCTGGAACTCTGAAAGGAGTTTGCAGAGCCATCTGTTGTGGCTTCACAGGATTGGTTGGGAACCCGGAACTGGAGACTGGTTTGGTTTCAACAGGGAGACTAAGGTTTTGAAAACGGTGTGATTATCTGACGGGCTCAACCCAAGGCCTCCTTTAAGCCTTGTTATGGCCTTCCTACCCCAACTGAAGCGTATTTCTTCTTTACTGCTCTTGACTTGAGAACGGCCTGGTCTCCGACATGCATATTTCATTACTCAACTTTATAACCTGCTCAACATAACTCATCTTACAAAAGAATCTTGCCCCAGTTCCTCCTCTTCCAAAGTACATCCTTACTGTGCAACCTACTTGCTCAAGCTTCAGGTGAAATTGAGATAAAAGTGAAGGACTAACTCTATATGGCAAGACATTGTGCGTTTAATTGGGTTGTTACTGTAATACTATATTTGAAAATATTTTAATTATTGGAGAGTTTTAGGAAGCCGAATTAAGATGAACATTATTGAGAAACCATTTTCTCTGCAGTTTAAGAAACATAATTCATGCAGGTTGCAGGCAAAACTGTTGACAGGAAAAAGTTTCTTGCAGTGTTTTCTTATTCATGTCAGGTTAAAATTTAATACTTGTGTTTGAAATAGCTTTTTTTTTTCTCTTTCTCTTTGTACTTAGAAGATGTATTCAAAGGTCAATATATAGCACTTGGTCCATTTCAGAAACAGCTTGGCAAAAAACTGTATGGCAACATACTTTTAAGAGCTGCAAGTTGTACTACAAACAGTAGTATTAAATGATAAAACGTCTTATTGCTTCTTATAAGCATACAACAGTGGTTTCTATATAGAGAAAAACATTCTGTTTTTTTTTTTTTGCTTTTTTGTGCATTTGCTTTTTTGTGATTTCATTATATATCAATTCTTTTTTCCATTTAGAAATGTTGTTATAATGCCATTACTAGAGACCACTCTATTCCTAAAAACACTAGATGCTCATCTTTTCCTTATCCATAAAATGGCTTGAATTAAGAGCTGTCTGCTAGAAATTACTTTTAAGTTACTGAAAACTACAAAGGGCAAAAAACTGAATGGAAAGGAAAGTTGAAACATTGAAGAAGGATACTATATCAGATACTCTTTCCTCCATTGGTCTTTTTTGGAATAACTTAGCTTTTTGTAGAAAACTTAATTCTGCTAAGTAGGTAAAGATTTTTTTTCAATTAATATTTATATTTTACTAAAATCAAGTTAACATTTTATCTATCATTCTAACCAAATGAAGAATGGAAACCTAGAACACATTTTAGAGACTACCTCTCGAACTTAATGATCTGGAAAATAAAGTCCCAGAAAAAGCTTAATAAACCAGAATTACAAGTCAAACTAGATTCAATTTGAACACAGTGTTTATCTAGTTTTAATAAGCTTGTGCCAGTTAGCAAATATTTATAAAACATCTATCTAATCACAAATTTGAGTTACTTACCCCACTGATAATTCTGTAATAGTCATGGAACCTTCTTGCTTGCTATCTCACCTAATAAATACATACTCTGTGTTCTCCAATTTAATCTTTTCCTTGTCTTCCAACTTCTCAGATTTATTGTGTTTTTCACACAAACATAAGAAACTCAAGTTCCCACTTGGTATAGGTCATCGTTTCTTTGGTGGTGGTGGTGGTTTTTTGTTTCTTTCTTAAATGGAAACAACTGTATTTTCTCTTACTACAATAAGTTTTTTCAAGCATTCAGTATCTCAGCCCTAGTGAACTAGGCATACTTAGATTTAGTGATGTTCATAACACTGGAAACATAATCTTCAACTTCTGGGGCAAGTAGCTATCTTTTCCTTGATCTCAAAAGCACTTTAGAATATATCACTCTGTGTCTACAAAGCCTTTCCATCTGGGCAACTAAACACAAAAATTGTGTGCTAATAATATTCTTCTTGAGGCTTTCTATATTAAAATATTATTAATTGTCCCTTTTATCTGAGATAAGTTTATTCAGGATTGAAAATGATTGTTTTCTGCAGAAATATTCGCATTATTTTTTCTGTGTTGGTTGTATACAAGAGTTTTTTAAAAAGTGATGAGAAATAAGGCTAAATTGGAATAAAATTGTGTAATATATGCTAAGAAACCTTGTGGTTAGGAGATTTTTAATATTCTAGTTTATGCAAAATATTTTCTCATTAATCTTAATTATATTTATAGATCATAAACTGTCACTAACCCTAACTGACCTGTGTTTGAATACTTAAAATTTTTGCCATTGTTCTTTGGTTTGTTCAATAAGTACAGAAAGTTAGGAAAAGTTTGCTTAAAAGGAAGCTAAATTTAGGAAGCGTGTTTATTTAATTTAGAATTTTATAACCATCTTGAAAATAGGTACAGTAAAATTTACAGGTGTGTCAGTTTTAACCATTAAGGCCAATAAATAAGTACAGATTCCAGTCCTCAAGAAAAGTACTTTAGGAGACATGCAGTTCAGGTTATAACTAGTGAGTTGTTTGTCTTGATGCTATAACTTACCCCTCATCTTTAACTTACAAACCGGACTGCTTATTAGAATTACCAGGGATAATTTTAATAAAATGACATCTGGGACTGTAGTTCAGTGTTACAAACACACGTGCTATGGGTTCACTCCTGAGGACAGCCCCAATCCCAGCACCACCACCAAAATAAATGTTTGAGCTTCATGTTAGATCATTTTTATCTTTGGGACTTAGACATCAATTTTTTTTTAAAGTCTCCCTCAGAATACTATTATTGTGTCTAGAAAAATCAGTCAAATATTTAGTCAGTATTTGGATTTTCCTGATTGTGTCCATGTAAGAAAAACAACTATAACAAATTGGGGCCATATACAAGGTTCCTTCATTCCAGCTAGCTCATGTCTCTTGTTAAAACTTTCTTTTACTTTTTCTGTCCTGTAGAATTGTAGTTTTATGTTTCTCTGTTGTGTTTAGTAAACATTTTTAATTCAGTTTTTGTGGTTTTAATGCTAATTTGGCACACACTGTTAGATTTATTTACCTTTTACTTTTTATTTTACAAATTTGTATTTTTTTATAATCATGTAGAACTTACTGCTTCCAAAGCCAAATGGATGAAGCAAATGGTATTTAAATGGTTCTAATGTCTATCTTCTCTCTTATTTCATTCCTAACATAAGGAAAACTTTTATTTTTAAATTTTGTGACCATTCCTTCCTTTGGGTTTTAATGTATCAAGTATATTTACAGGTGTAAATATATTTTTCCTCCCATTTGATTAAACTGTACATATTATTACTTGTTTACACTTTTTCAACTTCAAATTTTATCCTAGAGATGGGGATAGAAATATTTTTTATTTCTTTTTAAGCTACTTAAAACAGGGTAGACTCATTTGCTGTTACAAATAGTTTTGTAAGTACCGGCTTATGCATAGAGTTTTGATATCATATTTTTGAAATACATTCTTATAAGTCAGCTAACTAGGGCAAATGGTAAATGTATAATATGTGTAATTTTACAGATATTGTGGTTATGAAATTCCTCTACTGGAGTTGTGCTGTTTTCTGATCTTGCCAACAATGTATCGGTTTCCCTATAGACTTGGCAAGTTATGATGTCAAATAATTTGTCATTTGGGGGGCTAGGGATTTAGCTCAGCGGCATAAGTGCCTGCCTTGCAAGCAGGAAGTCGTGAGTTCAATCCCTGGTACTGATAAAAATGAAAAGGACAAAAAAAAAAAAATTGTCATTTGGATAGGTGAGAAGTGGCAACTCAGTGCATTTTAATGTGATTCTATTTACTGTATGTGATAATTAATATTAATGTTAATTTTTAACATGTAAAGGTCATTTATGTGTCTTGGTGTGAGCTGTCTTCTCTATAGAATTTTCAGTCTTCTATTTCTGTCTGTTACACAAACTCACTGAGAGAAAGAGGGAGAGAGACAGAGACAGACAGCATTTTTTTTGTTTGAGACTAGGTATCACTATGTAGTTCATGGCATTGAACTCACTGTGTAACCCAGGCTGGCCCCAAACTCACAGTGATCCCTGAGTGCTGGGATTACAGACATGTGACACCATGTCAGGTGAAAATTCTTGTGTATTTTTATTTGGTGCTGTGATGTGCCTAAGGTTGAGTGGTACTGGAATATACTGTTGTACTTGAATTCAATAAATATATCTGATGAGTTAAATTTTATAAAAAGCTTGGAGAAGATGTCTTATTACCACAGTTATTGAAAATATTTTCTAAACTATATATCATGAATTTTAAATAGCTTTATACTTCATGTTTTAATATGTATTATTATGTCCAGTGTTTCATTTATAAAAATGTACGAAAGACATACATACAATGATGTTCAGTGCAAATCCCAAAATATACGCTCAGGATACTTCGAGAATTACATGTCTTGGGTCATATGGGGTGTTGTTTGGATTTCTGATAAATGGTACCAAATTGCCTTACTGAAAAGTTATACCAACCTGTATTCTTACCAACAACGTATACTTACACCCTACTTCCTTATACTGTAATTGACAGTGTTTTAGAATCTGTGGTATTT